ATGGAGAATTATTCCGATCAGTCATTAAAGAAAGACGATTCGATTGGAGATATTTTCGTTGATAGTTTCTTTCATCGGCCGAATTTACTCACTTTATTTCTTTTCTTTATTCCCTCATTCTTTCTGTCTGACTTTCGTCTATTTTCTTTTTTCTTTCTTTCTTTCTTTCTTTCTTTCTTTCGTTATTTATTTATTTATTTATTTCTCATTTTACTTTATTTACCTTTATTTTCTTATTCTTTTTTCATATTACCGTTATTTTTTCTTTCTTTCGTTTATTCCCTTCTTCTTGCTTTCTTTCATTCCCATTTTCCTTTACTTTCTTTTCCTTTCTTTCCTCTCTTTCTTTATTTCTTTATTATATCTTTCTTTCTTGTTTTCTTTTCCTTTTTTATTTCTTTATTTCCTTATTCATTCATTCTTTCTCACTTTCTTTTATTTTCTTTCTTTCTTTTTTATTTACTTATTCTATCTTCCTTTTTCATTTTGTTTATTTTCTTTTTTCTTTCTTTCTTTCGTTCTCATTTTCGATTATTTTCTTTTTTCTTTCTTTCGTTTATTTCCTTGTTCTTTCTTTCTAATTTTCCTTTATTTTCTTTCTATCTTTCTTTCTTTTATTTACTTATTCAATTATTCTTTCTTATTTTTGTTTATTTTCCTTTTCTTTCATTCTTTATTTCTTTATTCTTTCTTTCTTTTTTTCTCACTTTCGTTTATTTTCCTTTTCTTTCATTCTTTATTTCTTTTATTCTTTCTTTCTTTTTTCTCACTTTCGTTTATTTTCCTTTTCTTTCATTCTTTATTTCTTTATTCTTTCTTTCTTTTTTTTCTCACTTTCGTTTATTTTCCTTTTCTTTCATTCTTTATTTCTTTATTCTTTCTTTCTTTTTTTCTCACTTTCGTTTATTTTCCTTTTCTTTCATTCTTTATTTCTTTATTCTTTCTTTCTTTTTTTCTCACTTTCGTTTATTTTCCTTTTCTTTCATTCTTTATTTCTTTATTCTTTCTTTCTTTTTTTCTCACTTTCGTTTATTTTCCTTTTCTTTCATTCTTTATTTCTTTATTCTTTCTTTCTTTTTTTCTCACTTTCGTTTATTTTCTTTTTTCTTTCTTTATTTCATTATTCTTTCTTTCTTTCTTCGTTACGTTTATTTTCTTTTTTTTTTTCTTTACTTACCTATTCTGTCTTTTTCTTATTTTCGTTTATTTTCTTTCTTTTTTGTCTATTTCTTTTGTTTATTTTCTTATTCATTCTGTCTTTCTCATATTCTTTTATTGTCTTTGTTTCTTTCATTTTTTTCCTCATTCTATTTTTCTTCCTTAATTTATTTTCTTTCTTTATTTCTTTCTTTCTTTCTTTCTCATTTTTGTTTATTTTCTTTCTTTGTTTATTTCATTCGTTTAATTCCTTATTCTTTCTTTCTTTCTTTCTCATTTTCTTTTCTTTTTTCTTTTTTCTTTCCTTCTTTTATTTCCTTATTCTATTTTTCTATCTCATTTTTTCTGTCTTTATTTCTTTCTTTATTTCCTCATTCTTTCTTTCTTATTTTCAATTGTTTTCTTTTTTCTTTCTTTCGTTTATTTCCTTGTTCCCTCTTTCTCATTTACGTTTAGTTTTATATTTATATATTTCCTTTATTTTCCTTCTTTATTTCATTTTTTTATTGCTTTCCTTTGTTTATTTCCTAATTCATTCTTTCCAACTTTCTTTCCAGCTCTCATTCCAGCGTTCTTTCTTTCTATCTTTCTTTCTTTTCCGTCTATTTCCTTTCTTCTGTTAGTCTTTTCGTTATTTTTCCCTTCCATTTTATTTCTTTCTTTTTCCTTTCTTCCTTTATTTTTTCTCGTCCATTTCTTGTTTCTCTCCTTTTTCTTTCCGTACTCTTTCTCTCCTTTCCTTTTATTATCATATCAAGTTTTCAGTTTTTAAATTTCCTTGTTATCTTCACTTTAATTTACAGTCTGTTCTTTCTTTCCATATCATTCGGTTTCAATCAGTGGAAAGATCGTTTCAACTATAATTATGTCCTATTTATGAAGTATCTACTTATTGTAAGTAAATTGTATGTATGTTAGTTCTTCTATCTATCTATCTATCTATCTATCTATCTATCTATCTATCTATTTCAGCCTGTCCTTATCTATCTATCTACCTATCTATAAATATGTGTGTGTGGGTGTATTTCAATCTGTATTTATCTATCTCTCTATCTATATATATGTGTGTGTGTGTTTCTTTCAGTCTGTTTTTATCTATCTATCTATCTATCTATCTATCTATCTATCTATCTATCTATCTATCTATCTATCTCAGCATGTTCTTATGTATCTATCTATCTATCTATCTATCTATCTATCTATCTATATATATATATATATATATCTGTATTTTAGTCTATTCTTATCTAACTCTAAATATGTGTGTGTGTGCGTGTGTATTTTAACCTGTTTTTATCTATCTATTTCAGCCTGTTTTTATCTATCTATTTCAGCCTGTTTTTATCTATCTATCTATCTATATATATATATATATATATATATATATATATATATATATATATATATATATATGAATGCAATGGAGTTGTTCATGACAGATTATGCGGTATCTCACACACAGCATATTTACTGTATAAACCAGAGGTGTGAGTTTTTAATTGTTGAACGAAAACAATTGTGCCTGAGCAGGTGTCTGCGACTAGGACTGGGTAGCCACGCTAATAGACAGGCGTACTTGATAAAAACAAATTGTAGCCGGCCATTATCTATCTATCTATCTATCTATCTATCTATCTATCTATCTATCTATCTATCTCATTCTGTTCATCTATCTATCTATCTATCTATATGTCTATCTATCTAAGCCTATTCCTCTATGTATCTATATATTTCAGGCTGTTTCTATAATAATCTGTTTATATCTATCTTTTTATCTTTCTATCTCATTCTATCAAAATCTCTTCATCTCGCAATTCTATCGATTTCGTTCTGTTCATATACATACATATATATATATATATATATATATATGTGTGTGTGTGGGTGTGTGTGGGTGTTTACGTATATAAACCTGTTCCCTTCAAAATCTGTTTATCTGTCTACCACTATTTCTATGGCAATCTCTCTATCTATCTATTCTATTCTCTTCTATCTATTTCACTGTGTTCATCTATCTGTCTGTCTAAGTCTGTTTCTATCACAATATCTTAATGCATCTATTATATTTTTTTTCAATTTCACTATATACCTATTTATCTACCTCAATCTGTTTCTATCAGAATTTGTTCGTCTATCTATCTCAGTCTGTTCATATCTATCGATGTATCTCAGTCTGTTCATATATATATATATATATATATATATATATATATGTATGTCAGTCTGTTCATATCTATCTATCTATCTATCTATCTATCTATCTATCTATCTATCTATCTATTTCAGTCTGTTCATATCTATCTATGTATCTCAGTCTGTTCATATCTATCTATCTATCTATCTATCTATCTATCTATCTATCTATCTATCTCAGTCTGTTCATATCTATCTGTCAATCTATCTATCTCAGTCTGTTCATGTATCTATCTCAGTCTGTTCATGTATCTATCGATGTATCTGTTCATATATATATATATATATATATATATATATGTATGTCAGTCTGTTCATATCTATCTATCTATCTATCTATCTATCTATCTATCTATTTCAGTCTGTTCATATCTATCTATGTATCTCAGTCTGTTCATATCTATCTATCTATCTATCTATCTATCTCAGTCTGTTCATATCTATCTGTCAATCTATCTATCTCAGTCTGTTCATATCTATCTATGTATCTCAGTCTGTTCATATCTATCTATCTATCTATCTATCTATCTATCTCAGTCTGTTCATATCTATCTATGTATCTCAGTCTGTTCATATCTATCTATCTATCTATGTATCTATCTATCTATCTATCTATCTCAGTCTGTTCACATCTATCTATGTATCTCAGTCTGTTCATATCTATCTATCTATCTATCTATCTATCTATCTATCTATTCTCTTCTATCAACATATCTATTTCACTCTGCTTGTGCATCTATATATCTGTCTCAGTCTTTTTTTCTATAAATATTTGCTGATCTGTCTGTCTATCTATCTAGCTAGCTATCTATTTTTTATCTATCTAATCTGTTTCTTTCACAATCTCTTCATCTATCTAGGTATCTATCTGTCTATTTCACTCTGTTCATGTATCTATCTAACTACCTATCTCAATCAGTTTCTATCAAAATTTGTTTATCTATCTATATTTAATAATAATAATAATAATAATAATAATAATAATAATAATAATGAAGTAGCTCCAACAGATAATATTAATGTGTTCTCCTCTGTACATATGTGACTATTTCTGTACGTAGTTTTGCCACTGTTAATATCAATTCGTATATGTTTCGATCTCAATCTTTTCTAATCTATCGCCCGATTGACCTCGGTCTGTACACATTCCTTTCATCTAGCCCCCGGCCCACACGGCACCCAATCCCCCGTCTCTCTCTCTCTCTCTCTCTCTCTCTCTCTCTCTCTCTCTCTCTCCCCATACATGCACACGCACGCATATTTCATGTAAAAGAAGCATTTGTTGGCGTTTCCTACACCCACACTTGATTCCTTTCTCTGCTATCTGTTTCCTTCCTCCGTATTAATTCGGAACACCGTTTTTCTTTCCAGATATTTTGATCACGTCTAATTTGGGACTGTCTACGCGATTAGTGGCTACCAACGCACTTGTATTTTGCATCCTAACCCGGCTTTGAATGCTCGCGCACGCGTCTTTGTCTTTCTGTGTGCGTCTGTGTGTGATTCATCCAGAAATGTCTTCAGCCCGAGACGGGTTAGCTTTATCGTGTGAACATTTCACTTTTCAATTTGTACCCTCTTACTTCTTTAGATAACGACCAGCATTCGTATTTAAGATCGTTATTGCAATATTTTGTTAAAATTGTTAAGCTCAGATATTTTACGATGCAATTGGAGAATTTCCACGGGTATTTGGCAATCGTAGAAACATGCTAGTAGCTGATTTAGCAATTAAATTAAGAATTATGATTTATGAAAAAAAAATTAATTGCGAAATATTTTTACGGATATTACTATTTAAAATGTTTAAAAATACAGTTCAGATCCTTTTCTTGAGCAGACCTCAAAATTGATATGTCCCGGAAAGGAATATATTTGTTCGAAGTAGCAAAGTGGCTGTTGACTACTGTAGAACAATCTAGCAGGTAACCGTAATGGACTGGTCCTCGTCGTACTGGTAGGCAATAGCCGTAGGCAATGGGCGAAGGCAATAGGTGTCGTCCATGTACCTCCTCATCAGTCTGTTTTTTATGGCTGACACCAGACAATCATATTACTTTGAGAGGGAAACCAGGTGCATATTCATTACATCAAAAACCTTGCGGTCTACATATACGCCGCAAAAATTAAGTTAATTTTACGTAAGTCTGTGATTAAACCCTTCTTCTCATTCGTTGGCACCCGTTCGCACCCAAGCACTGGAATCATCACCCACTTTCCCTATTCCTTTCTTCCCCTACTATTGGTGGTGGTGATGATAGGTATGAAGGCACAGTCTACTCTTGAAGAGTCAAGACAGGGTGGAATCATCCTGATTCCCTTCGTGTTCCATTAGTAAGGACGAATATCAGTTCTTTGTGGAACAGTTTCCCAAAAGCATCGTTTCACGATCAACAGAATATTAACCGCTATAAGTCTATGATGATTTGTTATATATCCTACATATCCTCATAATGTTCACTTACTTGCTCCTCCTCTTATATAACAGTCAGTAACCCTCGACCTTACTGACTATATATATATATATATATATATATATATATATATATATATATATATATAAGTAATGAGATCCAAACAATTTACTTCTTACAGATGATCATTTCGTCCATGGAATGTAGTTTTTCCCTGGACTAATCAATGCAAATTAACTTCATTAGAAGAAATGTATTCACTTATAGGCTCTATAATAAAAAAATATATTGAGCTCTCTTTTGTGGATCAGTTTTAATATTTTATATTAATAGGATCTACTTGGGTTACTTACCCATGGATTTTTTTTACCTTGTATACACACACACACACACACACACACATACATACATATATATGTATGGCTGGCGGAGTTTAGGTAAGTTCCTCTCTAAAATATAGACGCCATTTATTAATGAGTTGAATAATTTGTAGGAATAAAACCAAAAGTATGATACTAAATAATTATTACATCCAGATGGCCCATAATGTATATATATATATATATATATATATATATATATATATATATATATATATAGTGTGTGTATCAAAAGGTCCCTCACATCAAAAGGACAGAAATAACCGTTAGAACAATACAATCGACTACCCAGAATGCATCACTGACCCGTTTATATATATATATATATATATATATATATATATATATATATATATATATATATATAGCTGAGGAAAATTACAACGCATGTGGCCTGAGGATTGCGTTTACGCATGAAACGGACTGTCGTCTCTGGGTGTTAACTTTAATGTCCACGTTTATATATATTGTTGAGTGGTCCTCCCCTTTTTACACAAATGGACTCATCCAATATATACATATACTACTGCTACGTGAAGACCGGAAGAGCAAGATCGGAGGAAACAGAGAGAGGGTGAAAGATTGTAGATAACCGGAAGAGTGAGAGTAAGGTAACAGACAGACCGAACAAACGTAGCGATCAAGAGTCACAGTGAGCGAGCACTTAGACTCAGTAAGAAGTCATACAGCGATACTTCAATACCAAAGACTGTATAGATATTTTACTACTAACCCGTATTCCTGGAACTACTAACCTGCTTTACCAGTTTGTATTATTACATTAATACATTATTTTCCTATATTCATTCTTGGCGTTTGTTATTTATTGATACCGGATTACATATATACTAACCGATTTACACAAGCCTTGCTGCGTGTCAAACATTTTTTTATAAGAAAATGATGATTAATTTTATATCATTGCTAGAATTTGGGGAGAAAAATGTTGCATTTTAATATTACTCAATGATCTTGCCGGTGTGACCTCAATCTTCTGGCTTTCTCCTTCTATATTTTGGATAGGAGTCATTCTTTGTTCAAATTTGAATTTAATTTAAATCAAAGCGAAAAAATTTTCAGTAGGTCTTTGTACCCCCGGGGACCCTCTTTGATCAAGAGGAGTTCGATAACAGACAGACGGATAGACAGTGGCTACAATTTTACATATATATATATATATATATATATATATATATATATATATATATTAAAATAAGAGAAAACGTTTGCAGTTTCTCCTTTTAATATACACACTTTTTTCTCGTTGGAACTACTATAACCTCTTTTTTTTTATATATATATATATATATATATATATATATATATATATATATATATATATATATAGAGAGAGAGAGAGAGAGAGAGAGAGAGAGAGAGGTTGGGGTAATTGATACAAATATTGAATTTTTCTCCGAGGTGATTGGTGTTACATTCATCATCCACCACTTGGATTTCGTAGGAATCAATCCGTCCACTCATCAGGTATATCAGCAATACACACACACACACACACACGCGCGCACACACACACATATATATATATATTATAAATGGTTTAAAATATTTTTTTATGCGAAAAAAAAACATATTTTAAATAAATCAATTAATTTATAATATTAATGCTCTGTAAATTTACATTGAGCACTATTTTGTAAAAATAAAAATATCTATAAGAACACCGGATTAAATATCTTACTGTTCTTTCTTTATATATAAATATATATATATATATATATATATATATATATATATATTACCAGACATTTTCTCGGCTTAGCTAAAATTGACAGCTTTTTCTCAATGAGTACCCGGGACAAATTTCTGCAGTATGCTTCCCTGATCAATCTTTTAGGATCTTCAGGTCTAAGGTCAACTATCATATATAGCCTCATAATCTACACTTACATCCATAAAATAACCTCTTTCAGTAAGGCTGTACCTTGAATAACTCCTGAGCCTTGTACTGTGTGAACATTTCTTCAAATTAGTATACATTACTAGACACTTGCACGGCGTAGCTAAAGTTGTGCTCTTCTAAAATTAAAAATCTAACTCAAAGTGTCATTATTCTTTCAAAGAAATTTCACTTGGGAAAACAAATGGCCAACGCTTGTTACTCTAGTCTTCGTCTTCATTGTCTTTGGAAACAGAAACAAGAATTGTCAGTTTCCTTTCATGACTTCCCCATCAGCGTGTCAGTTCAATTCTTATTTCTCTGAGTTTGCACTAATTTGGAGTCGAGCGAAAAAGAATGCGGAGAGGGGACCTTTCAGATTTGATATACGCTCACTCTCGATTGACTTCTGAATGTAATTTTGGATCGTATGACCCGCAGGTCAGCACAAGCACGTAATTTTTATGCAGGACAATTAAGCTGGACGAACTGGCCTCTACGGATGCGTGCTGTCTATTTTAGACAAGAAGAGACGAGGCTGGAAAATTACAAGGAATGATGTGGAATCGTTGTTATGGCCAGACAGGGAAATGAAGATGTTGCAGGGGGCGGGGGGGTGATCATAAAGGTTAAATCTGAAAAGAGCAGAAGGACGATGTTCGATTGTATAGTAGTAAAAATATCACTAGCGTTATAAAACAATGTAACTGAAAAACAGTTTCCACTGACATGAAATGAAGAGATTATATTGAATAAAGTGTTATGTCTGGCGTTAAGAAAGTTGGTTCACTATATCATGGAAGACAATTTTTCTCGCCAGAATTTATCTTACATATTTATATTTCGACCATTCATCCTTGTTTTAAATATTGCTGCCACATGTCGTCTAGTGCTCCTGGTATATATTTAAAGAATCTTGATAAAATCCAAGGATGAATCTGCATTGTTATTGGTCCTGGCCTGGCATCTCAGCTCTAGTCACTTTCCCACCGCCGTAATGTAGCTTTCTTGTACCTTTTCTATAAATACTTTCATGGTAATTGTTCTGATGAACTTTCCTCTGTGGTATTATTTTTATGTTGCTATTTTTATTCCCCTCCTCACCAGACAAATCTTACATATAGGAACTAGTTAAGACTTCATAGAGACTTTGTGGTATTATGGTGACTGTAGTAAGAATGTTAAGTAAGAATATGCTGTTTTGGTGTAAGGAATACTGTGCTATGCTTGGGTCAATGATCATGGCATGTTTAAGACAGGACAGATTGAAGACCAGCCTTCCCCTATCCCACCTTTTGGCCTTGTGCCACATTTTTGTATTACTCAAAGTAAATATTACTTTCCTCTATTTTACGAATTTAAGTGCAGTACTAGATTAGCGACAAGGTATCATCATTTTACAGTTGAAATGTCTAGATGTAACCGGAAGTTCTATACTAACACTTTCTTCTATTGAACTTATCGCTTGTGGAAATCTCTTCCGGCTTCATGCTTTCCAGACAAATTTGATTTTCAAAAATTTAAATACAATATCAATCGTCATTTTCTGTTTTCTTAATTCATGATCTTTTATTGTCCTCCGACTTCTTAATATTGTTTTTCTCATATTCTCTAACA